TTAATTACACACAATTGATTTTCGTAGTACGCGAAATTTTCTCAAATTCCGACTTCCCTTGGTGCGCTTATGCTGGCATACCCTTTCATTCGAATTTCGTTATAAGTTTGTGTTAAATTTTGCAAGCGCTGAGGTGAAGAAGCAGGTCCAACGGGCTTGGCGAGTTGAGGCGAGTACCGCGCTGTGGTGCGCAGCGGGGGGGGGGGAGACTCTAGGCAGGACATGCGCCATCAGCCAGATACCAAAATTACTACCTCGTTACAAAACATTGAAACAGATTTATGAAGCATATCTTTTAAATATTACATATTGTACACCTTATCGTGTTATTTTTGGTTGATTACGGTTGAAAATTGTCACTTTGAACCACTTCCAAAAACCTCTTTCTCCCCATGCAACAATGCAACATGGCCGTGCTGTGGTGACGTGTGGCGTCATGGTGCGCAGGCAAGCGGCGGAGGCGTGGTGGGGCGAGGGGGCGCGGGGCTCACACGTGGGGGCGTTCGCGGGTGCGGTGGTTGTTCTGGCGGCGCTGTCGTACGCGCGCGTGTTGGTGCTGGGACCGCGTGTGGCGCGCGCGCCGCGCCGCCTGCACGACGCCGCGCTGCGACGCGCCCCTGCGTTGCAGCCGCTCAAGCTCTACGAGCATGCGGCCGCAGGGCGAGCTGCTGGGGCCCTTCTCCGCCGACATCCGCCTGGCTGGAAACGGAGGCCTGCCGTCGCCGCTTCGGTGGTGGTGCCTCAGTGTGCGTCTCGTTTGCCTCCTCTTCTCTGTCTCTCCCTCTCCTCTGCCCTCTCGCCTCTCGCCTCTCCCTCACCCCTCCTCCCATCTCCCTCTCTCTCCCTCTCTCCCTTCTCTCCTCCCTCTCTCTCCCTCCCTCTCCTCCTCTCGCCTCCTCTCCTCCCTCTCCTCCTCTCCCTCCCTCCCCTCCCGTCTCCTCCCTCCCTCTTCCTCCCTCTCCCTCCCTCTCCCTCCCTCCCCCTACCCTCTCACCTCTCTCTCCTCTCTCTTGCCCTCTCTCTCCCTCTCTCTCCTCTTCTCCCTCTCTCTCTCTGCCTCTCCCTCTCCCCCTCTCTCTGCGCCCCTCTCTCTCCCCCTCTATCTCTCCCTCTCTCCCCCCTTCTCTCTCCCCTCTCTCCCTCTCTCCCCACTCCTCTCCCCCCTCTCTCTGCTCTCCCTCTCTCTCCCCCTCTCTCTCCCCCTCTGCTCTCCCCTCTCTCTACCCCTCTCTCTCCACTCGCCCCTCTTCTCTCCCCTCTCTCTCCCCTCTCTACTCCCCCTCTCTCTCCCCTCTCTCTCATCCCCATGCTTCTCTCCCCTCTTCTCCTCTCTCCCCCCTCTCGTCTCCCCCTCTCTCTCCCCTTCTGCCTCTTCTCTCCCCTCTTCCTCCCCTGCTCTCTCCGCCTCTCTCTCCCCCTCTCTCTCCCCTCTCTGGCTCCCCCTATCTCTCCCACTCTCGTCTCCCCTTCTCTCTCCCCCTCTCTTCTCCCCTTCTCTCTCGTCCCCCTCTCTCTCCCTCTCTCCTCCCCCTCTCTCTCCCCCTCTCTCTCCCTCTCTCTCCCCTCTCCTCCCCCCCTCTCTCTCCCCTCTCTCTCCCCCCTGCTCGTCCTCCCTCTCTCTCTCCCCCTCTCTCTCTTCCTCTCTCTCTCCCCCCCATCTCCTCTCCCCCTCTCTCCCCACTCTCTCTCTCCCCCTCTCTCTCCCTCTCTCGTCCCCCTCTCTCTCCCCCTCTCTCTCCCCCTCTCTCTCCCCTCCTCTCTCATCGCCTCTCTCTCCTCCCTTCTCTCCCCCTCTCTCTTCCCCCTCTCTCTCCACCTCGTCTCTCTCCCCCCGCCCTCTCTCTCTCCCCCTCTCTCTCTCCCGCGCCCCTCTCTCTCTCTCCCCTCTTCTCTCTCCCCCTCTCTCTCTCCCCCCTCTCTCTCTCGCCTCTCTCTCTCTCTTCCCTCTTCTCTCCCGCCTTCTCTCTCTCCCCTCTCTCTCTCACCCTGCTCTCTCTCACCCCCTCTCTCTCTCCCTGCCTCTCTCTCTCCCACCTGCTCTCTCTCCCCTCTCTCTCTATCCCCCTCTCGTCTCCCTCTCTCTCTCCCTCTCTCTCTATCCTCTCTCGCTCTCTCCGCTCTCTCTCCGCCTCTCTCTATCCCCCCTCTTTCTCTCCGCCCTCTCTCTCTCCCCTTCTCTCTCTCCTCTCCATGTCTCCCCCCTCTTCTGTCTCCCCTTCTCTCTCCCCTCTCTCTGCTCCCCACCGTTCCCTCTCTCTCTCCACTCTGCTCTCTCCCTCACTCCCTCGTCTCTCTCCCATTCCGCTCCCTCCCTCTCTCTCTCCCCCCTCTCTCTCTCCCTCTCCCTCTCCCTCTCTCCTCTCTCCCTGCTCTCTCTCTCTCTTCTTAGAGCGTAATATCAGGCAATAATATCGCTGTTGTCTTTCCGATTTCCCCCGTTCTCTCCTTTTCGTTCTTGCACGTCCTCCCCCCTTTCTCACTCTCTCCTCTTTGCCTGTATCATCTTTCACACTCATTCATCTCTCTTGCTCTGTCGCTTTCTCTGTCTCCAGCTTCCTCTTTCTCTGATACTCGGTTTTTCTTCCATTCCCTTTCATCCTCATTCGCTCTCATTTCCCTCTCACTCTCGTTGCACGCGCCCTCATTCTCTCATACTCTCTCGCATTCTCTCTCACCCTCTTACTGTGATTCACTTTATCTCTCTCCCTCTCTCTCTCCCTTGCACTACTCTCATTCTTTCTCACTCGCCCACCCGCTTTTTCTCTCTATTTTTCTCTATATATTTCTCTCTCTATTTTTCTGTGTCCCCCATTTTCTTAGGCTATGTTGTAAAGTAGAAATGAAAAAAACAGAAGCCAGGTTAAAAGCTTTATATTACACTGCAGCTAGCCTCCAGACCCAACTCGTGACACAGAATACAGAGCCAAGCCGTCTCAGTTTCAGGAGATGTACCGAAATAACGCCCAGTAAACTGTAAACCAAACACAAGTTCGAGGATTATATGCCGGGTAACATTACCCTCTAAAAGGTTGAAGACTGATCCACACGCTCAGATTCTCGTAATGGACTGCGTCGCGACGGCCCTGCCCCTATCCTCCTTGTCCCTATCCCCCCTCCGCCGCCTCTCTCCTCCGACGCCGTCGCAGGGGTGAGGTGTGGCCCCGCAGCCACCGCCCGCTGCACTTCGGCTTTTTGACGTCGCGTCTCAAGACCACGCATGAAAACACGAGAGGGAAGGTAGACTCCAATAGCGTCTAAAAGTGAGAGCTACAGTGACGTTGCAGCTCCCTATTGGAGACTGCCTTCCCTCTCCCTTTTTCGGCTTTGAGACGCCACTTAAAAAAATAGAAATATAGTACCCCGGCTCTCCCGCACCCTCCGTCTGCGGAGCGACGAAGTGTGCCCAAGTGTGTCGCACCTCTCTTGTTCGTGGCCGTTAATTTAAGATGCAACAACAGTCACTATAGGCCTCATTTAGGCGCCTTTGCTTGAGCGTGTTTCTGTGAGTCATTTGAGAAAAATTTCATTCCCAACATTAAAAGACCTAAACGCGCGTATGTCACGGTGAGCACGTCGAAATTCCTGACCGTTTGCTAGTTATTTTATTCGGTCAAGTAATACATACAGAATCATCGCATTTTCCAGTCAAACACATTCTGTCCAAATGGTACTAAAATACTCTCCCCAACGAATACTTCGTTTAGAAACTCTTTAATGCTAATTTTATTTACAAGGAAAGTTACTTGTTTGGTCAATACTTATCATGAGAATCACGCGCTCTCGTGACTTACTACATTTATCTTATTCTAATGTAAACGTTATTATACTTTTCTTCGCGCGAAAATAGTTCACCAGGGGCTGACAATATTTTTTTTTGTGTTTTGTATATTGTTAAATTAATTACATGAATTGGCATTATCTGGGGGCAAACAACTAGTGTTAAAAGTAATTCTATCATCACAATATAACAATGTACAATATAATAATGTACAATATAACTAATACATATTCTGTCACGAGATACACTCAATATAAACACACAAAATCACAGAATAGCATACTTGTATTGTAGTAAGATTAGCGTCACTTCAGGTATTGATGCAAGCTGGGAACGCAACGCTGGTCGTGCTTGTTCAGCAGCCACCCCACTAGTCACACAACAGGAACGCACAATCACCCTCCCAGATTGGTGTCCTCAGGGGTGACATTTCGGCAAAGGATTTCACCATTGCATACCGCGACCAGCTACGAAATAATCATCATTACGAGGCAGATTTTAATGAAATGTTATTTTTTTCACTTTATAAGAATGTATTTTGGTATAGACATTAATTTTGTTATGAAAAAAGGGAAATGAAGAATTTTTATATGTCATATTTTACATTTTTCGTCTGAAATTTTGATTTCGGCTGAAATGTCATTTTTTAACTCTTCCATCATTTTGAAAACATTTTTGCCGACGTCATCGATTTTAATGCCATTTTAATGGTAATTGTTTCAAATAATATTTACGCAATGCAACAAATATTTGCCACAGAATTCCTAATTAACTTATTCAATTTCTTCACTCAAAAATTGTAATGTAAGCCTCTGTATGTAAAATAAGGTTCCTATGATGAAATTTCAGCTCCATTGACGGTTCAACCGATTTTGCGGTAACTAAAGATAATGATTTCCTGGTAAAGAACAATCCAAAACAAAAATTTGCAAGCTAAATTTAATTTAATGAAAGGACTAAGCTTCGATTACAGCAGTAACATCCAACAGCTTGAGTAGTTCAACGTTCATTGATTTTGATCAAATTTTTTACGTCGTTTTTCTATGATATTAGGGCATTTTAAAAAACATTTTAAGAGCATTTTATTGATCAATTATGGCGATGTTTTAGATCATCATAACCCGCCCCCTAATCATACTACCCCGTTTTGTTTCATTTTTCGGTTTGTTAGTGAAAGCAACTTGATATTTTCTTTTGTTCCACGCCGCTCCAGCTGCTAGGGATGCTGGTGGGGCTGTTGGCAGTGGTGCTCGTCAGCGAGTGGCGCACCGTCATCCCGTTGGCGGTCTTCGTCGGCGGATCGGCGCTCGTCGCCGTCAAATTGGCGCTCGTGCCCAAGAAGTATGCCCACCTGCAGGCGCAATGTAAGCACCCGTGCTGCGGCCGTCGTCGCTCACGAGGACTGTTCTTCTCGAGTGGATCTGTCACTCTGAGCCATCGGTGGCTCGCGGGTGTGATTCCTGGTCGGGGCAAAATTATAACTGTCCGCTTTCGTTTCAAATGTCCCCGTTCCTATTGCTGTGCGACGATGCGAAAATCCACTAAGGTTGTGAAAACCTGTATGTACGGTGGAGGGATGACTTCGTGCTAACCACACGAACATCCTAGCCCATGGCCGAGAGGCTGGGCCACTACTGGTCGACCCTGCCCCGTATCAGGCTGTCGAGCCAACAATAGAACAGGATCTGTAACTCAGATGACTACAAGAGGTGTCGCGAGTATACATTTATTAATTTTTCCTTCTTTATTCTGTTTGTTTATATTGTCTCAGTTAATTATTTTTAAAAAATTATAAATAATTAGTCACGTACTAAATTGTAATAACGTGATATTCAAATTGTTTCGCAATAATTTTCAAGGCAGTACATATAATTATTTGACCCGTTCATACCCGGAGAATAATTCATCATTTTCCAAAGCTCGTTTCTCTGCGAGACAGAATCTGTATTACTAAAGAATGTTGCTTCATTCTGTCGACAAATTTTCTGAGAGCAAATTTCATGAAACTGCCATACGAACATTTGGACTAAAATATCTCATTAATTAAAGACAATGTAAAAACAAATTATTTTTTTGTAAATTTAACTGTGTTACAGCTTCTAATATATTTAAGGACCATAAGTCTCCTCCAATTTTGGATTAACGCACTGAGATCCCGGGTACAAGGATACTACAGTTTCTAAAGTATGAAATGGTCCTTCTCGGAAAGAAATCTTCGCACATATGTTCCCAGGATCTTTTTTTCCTATTATTTCTTCTAGCGAATCCCCTCGCAATGAGTACAGCTTCACCTTATACGAAATGCTTGTTGGGTGCAACGAAGTCGTAAAAGCCCCCACATATGTGTGCGTTGTGTTGCAGGCATGGAGCCAGTGCTGTCCCACGTGTCTGAGACGTTTGACGGCTTGGCTACCATCCGCTCACTTCAGCGTCAGCACATGTTCAAAGACATCTTCGAGGCTCGACAGGTGGGAGGGGATGAACACCCATTGTGTGTCCCTAAATTCTCTCCTCGTCATAACTAATAGTTCAAGCACAGATTAAACAAAACGATGCATGTTAGAGACAACCTCATGACCTGTACTGGATGAAGTGTTTAATGACTTTTGCACCACGTTCGTTCTAAGACTACGTTAAATGGAACTACTTAGTAATTGGCTGGCAAGTTGAGCTACTAAAATTAAATTACCGTAATTTCGCGTCTTCTTAATTTTCATTTTCTCAACTAGAGCTGCCACAATTATGTTGCATCAAGGGATTATGGAGTTAACAGCACAATGTTTCGCCACAGTTGAGAACAAATTTAATTGATCGTAATGAAGTGACTGTACGATAAAACCCACGTGATTACACACGATAATGCTCTTTGAATATCGTTTTACAATATAAATGTATCGTAAAATTCTAGTTCCGTCATGCAAAGAAGTTAAAAGTGTATTCATATGGCAAACGGTATATTACTTCATCCTGTTTAAAATCACTCTGTCTTGAGTAATATTTCAAGCATCGCGCGCTCAATTATTTGCCCACTACAGATAACAATTAAGCAGACATTGTTTCGCGTCACACTCAGCCCATTTTGTCCAAACCAAATGTGTGCACGTTATAAATTCACATACTGAACTAAAAGTCATTTCAAAAATAGTGTGCCCACAAACTAATCAATCAACAAGTGTTGAATCAATTGAACAATTTGAAATATTTTGTTTAAATAAAAAGGATAGATTGAGAAAATTGTGTCAGTTGAAATAAAAGAAGAGACTGTGATTTGGATTAGTAACACCATTGAAACTGTAAACTACCTGTAATATTTGATACTAAGTGGTCTGAACTGGAGCTAGAAAATATGAATGACACTACCGTCATCATCGAAACCCAGAAAAACTGAAAGAGAATACTGATTAATAAATACGTAATGTTCTGGTAGGGTGCCTGAAACATCGAGTTCTTCATCTGATGAAGCAATTACATTGGGTAACCGATGGAGGAAAAATATAAGCACTTACAACTTTGTCAACGATTATATTGTATTATTGCGATTGCAATTGGACATGATTAGGCAAAAAGGACATGGTATTCTTTGACAAATTCTTATTCTTCAAGTGACATGGTATTCTTTGGTATGCTGTCACATGACATCAGAAATGAGAAACAGAACTTCGAACTTAGGACTGCATTATAAATTTCTTTGATATTTTACGAAGATTTTATTTTGAGTGTTGCATGTGAGCATAGTTTCCCAGTACCATAGTTATTCCACAAAGTATATATGTACAGTTTTCAGTAACTTACTGTGGGGATAATGATCTTTTTTATAATAACTTTTTTTTGTACATTATCTCATGAAATAGTATAGTTCATTTCATCATTACCAGAAAATGATACCAGACAGACTAGAAATTGATTTTATTTTATTGATAATAAAATCAATTTGTAGTCTATCTTGTTCCTGCATCCTACTTCCTACTTTAATAACATCAGTTGTCTTTAATATCGAAATCAGGAAGACATTCAAAATCACCTACATCATCATCATTTGCATCGTCATCAGCATCATTTGCATCGTCAGAAAGGAGCGTTCTTTGGGAGTAATTAAATGATTGGGGTATTAAATGGAGCATTGATTGTCTACTTTTCCAAGTGTAATGTATTTTCCGTCAGACCGAAGTGGCAGGGGATTGTCTTGATTGACGACTTCAACAGCATGTCGCCCTCACCTTCTCTTGGAAATATCAACTTCAACTTAAGAGCCTCCAAATTTTTGTCTCATTATGGACAATGAATGCACGTCTTCCCATAGTACGTCACATAGTTTAACTGTTTTTACGGTAAATAAATAAATCTATAAAAGACTTTTTTATTCGCATGGTATTCTTTGGTATGCTGTCATATGAGAACATATGTGTTATTTTTCACTTGAAGAGTGTGACACGTACTGCAAATTACTTTTTCAAAGGTTTGCATTTTAAGTTGAAAGAACCGTAAAAATGTTCGTTCCGGCGCTCGGTAGCTCGCACAGTATCTTTTATCCAAAGGAACCAAGCCATAGAACTTGTGTGCTTACATCGTTCCTTGAGTCCCGTAAGTAAAATGTACCCTACTGTAAATATGAGATGAGGGTAGGTTCCAGCAGTTGTGTTTTCCAGAGTAACGTACATGCGAGTTAATTCTATTTCGCAATATTGGAGTTCGACAACTCGTTTCTGGCATTTACTCAAATATTGTGATTTTGTGAGATGGTTATTTTTGCATAATATATCCAATTGAAAAAAGCATGCGTAACAATGTTAGCTGTGCCGTAGAGCTATAGTAAACTTTTCGAAACAGAATGAAGAAATTACGCCCCTAGAAATATCTCTCAAATAAAAAAATCGAGAAATAGTTCTATTGCATAATACTTCTCCATGATACAATATTGTTGAGTAAATATAGAATTTTAATATTTTTTAGAATAAATAAGAGCTGTCTGTTGCTAGAATGTCCTGCAAATGACTTTCCGGTATACATTAGTCAACACAAAATCTAAAAATATTACCGAAAACGGTTATAGGAATATCATGTGCACAGAACACTTTCAAAAACTTCAAACATCATCTGGTCAATATTAATAATATTGACGCTATTTATTAAGCTCCCTTCCTTCTGTAACTGATTTTGTTTGGAAAATGTCAGAGGAAATTTGCAAACAAGAAATTTAAGTCAAAATTATAAATAAGCCAAATAAACGGAATGTCAAAATATACAACTTTTCCCAGTGGATTAAAACGCGATATAAGTTTGCATCGTCCAACTCTAAAAGAAAGAGGAGTCCCCGGTACCAGAACATGTAAGAATCGTATTTCCTAAGTTCAATTGGCAACCGAAGTAAAAGCATAATCATTTGTCTTTGCTTCTTTTGTAGGACGTTGCAACATCTGCTTCCATCGCTTTCGACGCCACCAACGCCGTCATCAATTTTGTCATCAATCTACTGGGGGCCCTTCTAATCTCCGCCAACATGCTTATTTTCTTTCTCGCTGATGATGGTGAGTTGCTTTTCCCAAAATTAAAAATTATCCGCTAGAAATAATTTCGTTTTGATTGTCACAAAACTTAACTGAAATATTGGTACACGAAATGTCATAATAGAATTTTGATGCTGAAGCAGAGTGAAAGAAACAAGACCTAACAACAAAGGTTCCGTTATGATGGAGCATAAAAGAAGTTTAGAAATTAGAATAATTAATAATATAATATTTTTGGTATATAAGAATTTTAAAAATATACGAAACAACTTCTCGAAGTTAATTACGAGTACTTCTAAGAGTACACATCAAAAAAGTAAATAAAAAGCGCACAAACGAATCATATCGTACATAATCCTAAACAAACTATAGCACAGTTACTATTACTTTTTTTCAAAATAAAATGGAATAATGATTATTATCTTGTAAATTATAAATATTTAATATCTCATCCATAGCATTGAAACCTCTCATCTAAATTATACACAGCATAATGTCAATTATCTAGAAATGACTGAAATCCTTTTAAGAAGTAACCTTTCAGTCGCAAGCATGACTAATAGTGTGCTTAGTAATGATGAATCTATGTGTGTAAATGGCATTCAATTGCAATCGTTGCCATAGCAAGTTACTTTTGCTTTCAACGCTTTCATTCTAGCACTCATTTTACATTTTACAGTAAACATTTTAAAACTTGAGGTGCTGCAGAATGGCACAAACTTTCCCGTATTAGTTTTTAATTTCCTTTGATCTTGGTTAGCTATTCGAATTTGCTACATACTATCTGCTGCGATCTATCGCTGCGAAAGTACATTTTTTCACATTTTCCTATTTTTGCTGTTTCCTAATTGTAGAGCGTAAATATTCTTTTAAGATTATTAAATAACAGTAAATCTTCATCCTAAATTTCAATTTTCTTTGAAAAATTTGGAGCAACTTTTAAAAAAATGTATGCGCTACTCTAAATTCTAAATTTAACGTTCTTTTTTACAGTAAATTTTTGAGTTTTCGAAAAGCTTAATCTAAAGTCATTTTAAGCACTTTAACTCAAAAATACAATAATGTTTACAAATTGCTGGAAATGTGCATATTAACGGTGTAAGAGAACTTTGAAAAAATTTACAGTTGTGTAATTTTGGAAAAAACAAAAATACACCGAAATGAACTTTACGTGATATTAAAGAGTGCAATTAGCACTATCCATTTGAAAGGTGTGAAGAAAAAATTTGGAACCGTTTTTGAGAAAATGACTTTTGAGTGTTTCTGAAAATGCTGAGTTTTGAGGTAGTTTTCAGAGAAAACAGTTGATTTTCACGAAACTTTATATATTATTGAAAGCAGTGAACTTACTAATACAATAATGTAAACAAATTGCCGCTAATATAAATATTATCAATATGAGAGGTAAGTCAAAAAAGTTAATCTTTTTGTAATTTTTGAAAACATTAAGCATATATCAATATGGCGTAAATGTCATCTTATAGAGAACATTTAACACTATCCCTACCAAAAGTTTAAAGAAAAAATTTGGAGACATTTTTGAGAAAATACTGTTGTTGTATTTTTTAAATTTCACATATTGCGTGTAAACTATTTTTTAATGTACATGATTTTAATGAAAAAACTCACTATGGAAAACAAATTTTATTTAAATCCGCATGGAGACGCGGTATTCACTTCCTACCCACCTGTCACACGGCGCCATACATGATGATGAGCCAACAACGTGGACTCTACTGTTGGCTGTATGCGCGCACAGCACACACACACGCATCGACCTCCGGCAGCTCCACGATGTAGCCAGAGAGCAACTAAAATAAAGGGCTGGAAAACCACCTCGTAAGAGGAAATGATAGGATCAGCCGAATGATAAATGAAGAAGTGAAATAGGCTTAAGTATTAATTTAATAAATGAAGATGAAAAGCGAGTGATAATGCCTCTTGGAAAAATAATAAACTAAAACTAACGGTCTAAGAACGAAAATGAAAAACAAAACAATTAAAAAACGACTATACTCTATATAAAATGCATGTCTGAGTGGTGACTTATTAATACAGGAAAACTAAACTTAAAACTTAATTAGTAATTTACAAAAAAAAACAGTCTATAAAATTGTTCGACAAAATCAAAAGGACCAAAATTTCATTTCGTAAAGATGACCACAACAGTTCAATTCAATTAACGAGATTGCATTGCTTAGAAAGAACTTGAACGTAATTGAACCGACTCCGCACCTAGGAGGCAAGACCTGGCACCTGCTATGTGGAGGCGTCGAACTCGTCCTGATTATTGCCGGGGCTAAAGTCTTGCTGCCTAGATGTCGATGCAGATTCACAGTACATCTCTGAGCGAATGCTCCAAATCCCCGGACCCAATGACAAGGCAATGCGTACCTCGTGGTCTAATTTGTCAGATGCACCATGTAGTGATGATGGTAGCGGTTGCGGTAGCTGTAGCTGTAGCTGTAGCGGTAGCGGTAGCGGTAGCTGTAGCTGTTAGCTGTAGCTGTACGCTAGGTAGCGCGTAGCGGATAGCGGTAGCGGTAGCGGTTAGCGCGTAGCTGTAGCTGTAGCTGTGCGTAGGTAGCGTTAGCGGTAGCGGTTAGCGGTAGCGGTAGCGGTAGCTGTAGCGTGTGTAGCTGTAGCGATAGCGGTAGCGTTAGCAGGGTACGGTAGCTGGTAGCGTAGCTAGCTGTAGCGTAGCGGTAGCTGCTAGCGATAGCTGCGTTAGCGGTAGCGGTAGCAGTAGCGGTAGCTGTAGCCGGTGTAGCTGTAGCTGTAGCGTAGCTGTAGCAGTAGCGGTAGCGTTAGCTGTAGCGGTAGCGGTAGCTACTGTAGCTGTAGCTGTAGCGAGGGTAGCGAGTTAGCGTGTAGCAGGGTGGCGGTGGCGGGTGCGGTGGCGGTGGCGGTGGCCGGTGCGCGGGCGGTGGCGTTGGCGGTGGCGCGGTGGCGGTGGTTGTGGTTGGTGGTCATAGTATCCCGTACCAATCGTTCGGTAGTTTTTCGTGGTTTCTCCATCTACACAGGGAATGCCGGAGTAGTACCCTACCAAACAACCTACGGACCGCGCTTCCTTTCTTCTTCCTTGTCTTACACACCCCTTACACTTACGCCTACGGCAACTGCACGACAACACATGCCGAACCAGCCGGGAGTCGGGAGCATAGAACTTGTCCCTGCTGAGGTGGTACTGTGCAGGTGGGAGATACCTGGTAAGGGAAAACCCAGCCAGCCGACATTAGGTCTCGCCCTTCAGCAGGGAAAGACCACCGCCACATCCCGAGCAAAAACACGCCCTACACTTAAGGAACTAAGGACCCTGGTAGTTGACGCGCCCTGAATCTCTAACAATCAGTCAATCCATCCGTACTGATCTGGTCGCAACGTGCGCCGCGCCGACGCCTGTTGGCAGGGTCGGAGAGCGCCGCGGCAGCGCTGGGGCTGGTCTTCTACCTGGGCGTGGCGGGCAGCGTGCTCATGAGCGTGCTGGTGGACAACGCCGTGGAGCTGCAGAGCTTAGCGGGCGCCGTGAGGCGCACGCGGAGTGTGCTGGCGATGCCCCAAGAGGAGGCGCTCTCCGCCGAGGAAGGTGAATTGGCAAGGCCGGACGTCGCGCTGTTTCTTAGAGTAGCGTGCGAACTTTCCTTCCTCTTACTTGTCCTATCCTCATCGCTTACACACACACACACACTTTCAAGCACTACACTACACGCTAGTCGGGAGACCAGTCAGGAGCTTGTCGTGGCTGGGGCGATACCACAACAGTGAGAGATAACTGGTTGGGGAAAACAACGCAAGCCGATGGGTAGGCCAAATTTCATCATCCAGCAACCAAGATTGCGCCCACGTACTGAAACTAAACATGTACTACATTTACGGAACCAATAGTCTTAGGTGTTGAAGAGCGGTGAATCACTAGTGAATAAATCTCGTGTCTGTTGACAGCCCGCGCTTGCGCGGAGGCCGAGGCGTCGCTGCCCGCCGACTGGCCATCGCCGGCGGACGTGGAGTTCCGCGACGTGCAGCTGCGCTACGGCGCCACGGGGGCGCTGGCGCTGCGCGGCCTGTCCTTCCGCGTGCGCGCCGGCCACAAGGTGGGCGTGGTGGGGCGCACGGGCGCCGGCAAGTCGTCGCTGCTGGCGGCGCTGCTGCGCCTGGCGCCGCTGGCCGGCGGGCAGGTGCGCGTGGGCGGCGCGGACTGCGCGCGCCTGCGCATGCGCACGGTGCGCCGCGCGGTCGCCGTGGTGCCGCAGGAGCCCGCGCTCTTCTCGGGCCCGCTGCGCCGCAGCCTGGACCCCGAGGGGGCGCTGCCCGACGCCGCGCTCTGGGAGGCCTTGGACGCCGTGGGGCTGCGCGCGCTCGCCGCGCCTCCGCAGGGGCTGGACGCGCCGCTGGGGGCGGCGGCGGGCGCGGCGGCGGCGCAGCTGAGCGCCGGCCAGCGCCAGCTGCTGTGCGTGGCGCGCGCGCTGCTGCGCAGGTGCCGCCTGCTCGTGCTGGACGAGGCCACGGCCAACGTGGACCCGCGCGCAGACGCCCTGCTGCAGGCTGCGCTGCGCAGGCAGTTCGGCGCGTGCACTGTGCTGACGGTGGCGCACCGCCTGCACACCGTGGCCGACTGCGACCGCGTGCTCGTGCTCGACGCCGGACGCCTCGCCGTGAGTCGCTCCGCTGCCTCTCTTCGCTTCTTGTGAACAGCTGCGACCTCTCCGTCTCCATTCCCTCGCCAACAAGCTCGTCTTCGCTCTCTGCTTCCCATCCTTCTCTGATGCTGCTTCTCTATTTTGCTTGCCATTTCATGCTCCCTTTCTGCTGTTACCGCTCAATCTTTCTTGTTATGTCTCTCTGCTGGGTTCCTTTCTTCTGCTACCTCTCCATCTCGCTTCCTACATCAAGAAGCTCTTTACGCTTTTCATGTTCACTTTGTGTTGCTACCAGTCAGTTTCCCTTACATCTCTATCTCTCTATTACTTTCGTTTCTTCTGATATCTCTCCATCTAACTTCCTACTCTAAGAAGCTCTGTAAGCTTTTTTTGTTCACTTTCTGGTGTTACCCCTGAGTCTCTCTATTTGGTTCGTTTCTTCTGATGAGTCTCCATTTCGCTTCCTACGTCAAAAAGCTAGCTAGCTTCTAGCTGCTAGCTTCTGTCATGCATTTTCTACTGCTAACCAACCACCCCTATTTCTTTTCAATGATCACTGTTGGATATTCCTCTTCATTTATTTCTGCTGCTCCCTTTATGCTTACATCTTCCTTTATGCTCCAAGAATCTCTGTTTGGCTTGATGTTCTTCTAATAGCTTTCCGTTTTATATTTTCTCTTAGATGGTCCATGACGTGCCTATTTATTTTCTCGTCTTACGACGTACATACTGAAAAGAAAGAATTGTAATCGTGCGGCGGATTTCGGTGATTTTGTGACAAAAAACCCATATTATCAGTCCCTGTTAACAAAAAATGGATAAATCCTGTTCCTATATGTATTGTACAACGTTACTTCCTCTAACGCGTTGAGTAATCAGAATCCATGTTCGTGGGTTGTTGATACCGATAAATCGATTACCGTCAGAATGTTTAATGTTAGTAGGTAAGTATGTGTATATACATATAGCCGTCTGTCCGTCGATGATCGACGCTAACGCCTAAACGCGGTTTTCAAACAGATATTTTCATTTTGGGGTAACTTCACATGAAACTTCAAAAGAATTTCAAAGTTTTCTCAAAAATGGCTCCAACTTGTGTCGACTGTACTCATATAATACAAAGAACGCTTAAGAAATGATGCAGGTCTCATTTTCGTTCATAAAGGCAAATTTTTTATTAGTTATTTTCTCAAAAATGGCTTCACTTCTCTTTCAGTAAAACAATCCTTGGCCTGGCCAGAAAAGCTAGTGGCTCCGAGTTGGCGGAGCGGCCCAAACCAGGCATTGAATGAGAAGGTTGCCGCCAGGCCAAATTGGATTCCGACTGGACCCGGATGTTGGCCCGATGTACATGTTCGGTTACGGGGGTGACGATAAAATCGAAAATCTCAGGAACCCACCCCAGAGACTTAAGCCCCCGAATAGAATGAATTGTCAGCCATGAATTGTTGTGGAGATGTGCCCGCACTAGGAATTCACCCCAAAATGTGAATTTCCGTTGAAATCTCGAAATCTACTTTCCGCAGCATTACATAACTTTCCCTATATGCGTATATTACTCCATATAAATGTATGAAAATAGATCTTTAAATAAGGTCATCTACACTTTTTGATAGTCTAGTGGGTTTTGCGCAATTTCTATTTGAGGTTAGTGCAATTACAATTTTTTTCTCAAAAACGTCTACATTTTTTTCTTAGAAAGGTATAATTTTTTTTATAATTATTTTCACATATAGAGCAAAAGACTGGCACAAGTATAATTTTCGTGGCTGTCTGAATATTAAAATACAGCACAAGTTAGAAATAATGCAAAGAACTATGTGGTGTTGTAGCACAACTAGCTTCTGCTGGGTCTATTATTTTTTTCGCATCCTACCAGTACTGTTTGCTTTCATTTCCTTTTTCATTTTCTAATGATATCTCTCCATTTTGTTTCCTGCTCCAAGAAGCTTCATAAGTTGGCTTGACCAGCTCTTTCTTCTTACTACCTCTTAAACTTTACAGTCCTTTTAGAGTCTGCGTTTGCTTAGTCTGTTCAATACCCCATGCTTCTACTCTATCAAACTTTCTTGTCTATGAACGTCGATTGTAACGAAGTGTTCTACTTATTCAGCTAACGTTACACAGTTTTCTGAAATTTTATTGGTCCGTTTCGTTTAATTCGCCCTGCTTATGTTCAATCTCTAACCCTTCAAGGTCGTCCATTTGCTAGTACTATTTACTTTCCCTTTCATACCGTTTCCTCTTGGTTCTTATCACCGAAAAAAGAACCGTTGGAGTATACCAGATCCATGACACTGTAACAAGGAATAGTTGGAATATACCAGATCCATGATACCGTAGCAAGGTTCCTTGTTACAGTGTCATGGATCTGGTATACTCCAACGGTTCTTTTTTTCGGTACAATAAGAATGTATCTATTGACTTGTCTTAATACTTCTCATGAATCTCTTCTTTTTCCTGCTGTCACGGTCTGGTGCCCCGAACACCTGTTCTGCTTTAGGAGTACGGCCCACCCCACGAGCTGCTGCGGGACCCGGAGAGTGTCTTCTCGCAGATGGTCAGAGCCGCGGGCGCAGAGAGTGAAGATATTGTACGAACAATTGCTGAGCAGGTGAGTCTCGTCTAATGCATTTTCCCCTAGTTTTTGTGTTCACGTCACATTCGAATACGCTCGATTGTGTGACCACTTCCTTTTGAGAGAGAAAGTATCGTAATTGTTTGTTCGTACATATTAATTTCCTTAATTAAAACATTGAGACTTTTTTATTTCAGTGTAGAGACACAATTTTAAAAGTCAGTTTCACTCTCCTGCCTTCATAATAAGTATCTCTATTAAATCACGAATGGCTTTGCACAATCTTTTGTTTTGTAATTGTCAAAGCAGCTTTTGACTCTTGGCAGGTTTTCTCCAATTTTCTCTGCCTCTTTTTCCATCATTTCATCACCATTGTCGTTATCATTTGCCGATATCATAACTCACGTGCCTTAACGATCTCTACTACTATAAGTTCTACCAATAACTAAATACATAAATAAAAATTGTGCATTGTTTTTACTGTACTTCAAGCATGAAATAAAACAGCTCCTCACACATATAAATTTTAAAAGGTGAATTGTTACTATTAAGATTATTTTTATTGTTATTACTTTACCTACATATGATTTACTGCCATTCATTATGTATGTAATGCAGCAATTTCATAACCTGCAATTCCAGATCAGTACATTAGTTTGATTATTTTTAAAGTGCTCATTATCAGTATTGTTTTATAATTTATGTAAATGAAATTGAGATAACCTTACTCCGTAAAATTACATTTTAATTCGTTTTATTCGATGTGATAACTTTAACTATGTTTCCGGTATTTTGTCGAGTTATTTATCTTTTAAGTAATTTTTCACTACCAATCTTATGATTCATTAGAAAAAATAAGAAAAAAAAATTATTTAAAAGTTCTGGGAAAATAATAATATTAATGTTGCCACGCTAGAAGTTTTGAAAGAAGAAAACAAAAGAATTAATGGTTATACCAACTGAGAACGTAATTATAAAATTCTGTAATATGTAAATCACATGCCCCGCAAAATGCTGAAATAGGACACGTCTCCTCTGGCCATGAGACATTATTTAATATTGATTTGATTTAATGAATTGCATCAATTAACAATAAAACATTCTTTGAAAAATTACAGAACTATTCGCGTAACAAATCCTGGTCTCCTTTCCTGAAGCAACAAATAAGTTTTGTTGCAACAGCGAAATGCTTTGTTTTACTTTCGTATGGTGAGAGAGCTCGAATTTTTTGTTGGGCGACCTTCTAAAAACCAATTTCCCTCGTTCTTGTAATAGAGGATTACGAAATGAACAAAAAGACAGCCGTCACACGTCAGCGTTAGAGTCCGAGTTCCAACACTAAGTATTTCAGGAAAAAATATGTGTCACCTGTTTTGGCCTTCTTTTTCATCACTTTCTCCAAATCCACGCGCGAACGGCAGGTGCTTTCCCGCGGGATGCGTGTGATCACGAAGCCGTCCATATTTACGACCCCGCCCAGGACTTCCGTGAGCACTGAGCTAACTAGAACACTACGTTCCAGTGTTGATGGATGGGTGGATGTCTTCCGCTTCGTGTGCGACGCGCTGCGCCTCTGTTTGTCCCATTGTTGATTTAAATAGTGCATGTTAACTGCGTCTTTATTTAATTATTTATTTACGTCAAAAACAGTTCAAAACTGTGTGTGACGTGCTATGGGTAGAAGTTAATTTGAAGTTACATTTATGTCCAGAAGCAAAACAAGCGGCCATCTCAGCATTTGCTCAAGGATCAGGGAAATTAGACGAAAACCTGATCGAGATGGGGGTCATTAACCCAGAAACTGAAGTACAAGACTTTGACAGGTTCTTTACAATTATACAATCCAAATGATATATAATACATTAAATGTCATTGTTAAAATTAATAATACTTTCCTTTTGGATGCTCGGTATAATCTCTAATTGTATAGAAACATCTGTGCAGCAGATGCTTCTTAAACTTTGGTCTTAAACTTTTGTATCGAATTTAATTGTTTAATATCGTCTGGCAAAGTGTGGTAATATATGTGCATTGTACTATAGATGATTTTTTTGTAGTGAGATGTTGATACTGTTGCCTGATGATTATGATTACCACGTCGAGTGTTGTAGTTATAGACAACGGCGTTTGCAGAAAATATATTCCCGGAAAGAAAACTCGGTTTTCAATAATCTATCGTGGCGATTCGGCCGGTATTAGCCACGTTGCATAGAAGTTTCAAAATGTTACTATTAGAAACATTGCTTTCTTTTCTTTTTAACGAAGTTTGGGGTTGTTTGAAGGAGTGAGGGAGAGAGACTTAAACGCGCCACATTTAAAATGCACTCTCTTAGCTCTTTAATTTATATCAAAGAGTTTACAATTGAATCGGATTGAGGAGAAAGGAGAGAGCCATTTTTTGCAACTTTTCAGGAGGAAGAAAATATTAAATAATACT